AGGCTGACTGATTGTGGAAAGCTCTATTGCTCGGTGAGGTTATCAAATCCCTAACAATGTATACTAAAATGTGGGTTAGTTAGTTCAAGCTTATCGCGGGAAATCCGGGTGTGCATTTGTGATCGCATCCGAATAAATCCAAAAATAAACTTTTGTTCTCTTTATAATTTTTTATTAGCTTTACCTTCGCTTTTGATTACTGACCATTAAAAGATTTGTTGGAGTTATTTATAAATTCTCTCTGCCACCCCCCCGCGGGAGAAACACAAAAGTGGAAGAGAAAGAAGGAGCAACGATCAGGCAAACACCTGCAGAGCCCGTTTCCAGATCATTTGACTTTATCCAATTTTAATTATGGTTTATTATGCAAAACAAACACCACAGAAACAGTCACAAAACTGTGCTGCTTTTTTTTCCGGCTAATCAAAATATCATCCTCCGCTTACGTCACAGCGGCAAAACAGCAGCCGATTGGCGCCTCTTGGCTATAAATCAAATCCCATCATTCCCTCTTTTTCAGTTATTTAAATAAACTTTGGCGAGAAGAAAAAAGAAACCGAAAAGTTGTGCGACAAGAAAACAAAAATTTAAATCAAATCAATTCACGAGGAGCAGAAAGAACATTTTTCGCCGGTTAGCAGACACTTTGTTCTAAAAGTTTGAAAATATATTTTCTAGATATTCACGAAAAAGTGTCTCTTTTGGTAATAACACTTTCTTGGAAAAAAGATATTACTATATCTCCCAATCTTTACAATAATACCTTATTTTTTTTACAGAAAGCCAAATTAGGGATTCCCAATAGTCCTTCAAAAAGCTATCACTTCTAGTATCAAAACTTTCACCAAAAAAATATATATATGTATATATATATATATATTTTCCTGATATTTCACAAAATTTGTGTCACACTTTCCTTAACGACTGTTTTGTTTTTTCTGTATTTAAATCTATTTTATTTATAAGATTCTGTCACATGGCATGGGCTATTTTTCGCAGTTGCTTTAAGCGACTGAAATTATTTCATCTGTTTAATTTTTATGGCAATTACACGTCCTTGGCTGATTGTATTAATTCAATTTTAACTTATGCAAATGTTTCTCGCATCGTTTCGAATTCTGTTGTGTGTGTGCTCATCTTTTTTGTAAATATTTTTGGTTTAATTTCGTGTATTATCTTGTTAATTAGCGAGACGGTTTATCAACTTGTTTATTTGGGCATTTAGTTAATCTGCATTGCTCACAGCTGCTTTTTATAAGTCACTTGTTTTAAATTGTCACTAAAAATATAATTTTCTCCCGATTTTTCGAAAAATTTTAATTCACATATCGAAATAATGTTTGTTCCACGCACATTCAGCTGACTTCGCGGTGATTTTATTGTTTGATTTTGACCATAAATTGAACGCTCATGCTTATTTATAGTCGACGTTAGCTTGAAAATATTTTCGTGTGCTGTCGAAAATCCAGTTTTCTTAGTCTTTGTTTGGAACTAATTATGTTTCGCGTCTTAAAAAAAAATTACTAATAATTCCCCCTTGCCAACCGTTTAAATATTTTTCACTCTGTTTGAGCGACGGGCGGCGAGTTTTCGGTATTCCGTTTGCTTTTCGATTTTCCAATTTTTGGGTTTAAGGTATTTAAATATCAATTAATGAATGCACAAGTCACCAGTCACAATTCACAAAGCAGAAATCACAAAGTTTAGTAGTAACTAGACGAAGATCACGTGGCGGAGCATCCGACTCTGCCGGCAGTTGGTATCGAAGTGAATGCGGTCTGCGGTCCGCCCATGTGGTCCGTACTCGTTCGGTCTATATCTGTATCTATATACTTTCGTATTTGTGTGTAAAACCGGCAAGGCGGTCCAAGGGTGTGTGCGTGAGAGCGCGCCTCTCTGTTTCTCTGTTTTATATACACGTTACACACAACGCGAGAAAAAGGTGAGCACAACAGAAAATCAAGCGAGCAAAGCAAAAACCTAATCAAAAAAAATAAAAAAAAGAAATATGAAAAAAACTGGAAAGGTAACCCAACGACTGTGCATAGATAACCAACGTTAAGTTGATTAGGGCCTTTGGCTAGGGCGTTTTGGGGCGTGGCATACCGTCAGCTGACCGCCTCAGACAATATTAAACCACTTTCTGTTTTTCAATCCATTTCTGGAACTCTCTCCGTTGCTCTCTGGATTGCTTAACAATGGAATATGGAAAAACAGTCTCACTTCTATAACTCAAACTCTGAGGCTACCTAGTAACATTGGGAGACCTTTAAAAAGTCACATTTTTATGATTATTTAATCTTGTAACTCAAAACTTAATCTGCGAGTTTTGCAAATTATTAATAAATAAATTAAAACCATAAATTGTCTAGATGTTACAAATTCTATTCAGCGAAAAGTTGATCAAAAGTCTTTACGAAAGGTGTTACTAACAGAGGTTCCACTGTACTGCTCTTGTCTTGTTGTTGCCTTACATGGCATTAACATTTACATTGCTGTTATTGTGATTATTTTGTTTTTTTCGCTCGTTTTCTTGGTTCTATCGATTCTAATGCTCTTTTTGTTGATTCTTGCTTGCTTTGTGCGTGCCGTAACGCACGTAGGCCGACTACACCAACAACAACAGTCCAAATATTTTGCCCTTAGCATTGGGTGGTGTCTCCCCACCCACCCCTTGGGCATCAATCTATCTCTCTTTCGTACTGTGTCCCCGTCTCGTTCTGTCTGCAGACACCGAGTCTGTTCTAGTTTCTCTCGCAACGCAGTCGTTGTTTTTATGCTTTGGCTCGACATAAAAAAACTTAATTGTGTTAACTCACAGCAACATTTGTATATGTATGTGTGAATAAAAAAATAAACTAATATAAAACAAGCCCCCACACTGATTTTGTCACTGTCTGGCCTGCCTTCAACATCAATGCCGCTTGAGATTTGATTGTGGGTTGCAAAAATCTCCAAGTTATGTGCTTTCTAAGCCTCTCCCCCTATCTCTTGCTCTCTTTTCCATCCCGCTCTCTCATTTCAATTGTATTACGTCATGGGCTTGAGACACTTGATACGGAGGCAGTAAGAGGGGTAAAGCAGAAATACATGATAAACAAAAGACCAAAAAGCAAAATGCATCAAAGAGGGAGAGAAACAGTGGTGCCACTGTTTGATTGCAAAAATGTCTAAAACCTACATTTTAAAAGTTAAAATACAATTTTATTCATTAAAGAAACTGCAGACACATTTCAAAAAGGTTAGTTTAGGGGGTCGAATTGTAGATACCATAAATTATATAAAAAAATTCTTACGATTTTATTATTAATAAATAATTATGCTAAAGATATGGATATCGATTATCTTTTCAAGGCTTACACTAACAAAATGAACTTGACAACTTTTCCACTTCTGTAAGAGAACAAAAAAGCGATAAGATATAAAAATGAAAAATTGCTTCTGTTCAAATTAGTTTTCTGCAAATGTACTTAAGGGCTTTTAATACCAGAAAAAGTAGCTAGGAAATAGCTAACATTCCAGCACTGGGGAGCCTGTTTGCTGTTCTTACTTTTGCTTTTTTTTGCCTGACATTGAAACTGCAGCTTAGCATAAGGAATACAACAGCAACACAAAAAGTGCAGCCTGTACACGAAAACTTTCAAGGTCAGCCAAAGGGTAAACACATCCCAGCAACAGTTAGTTCACATCTCTCGCTCGCACACTGCACTGGAGCAAAGTTCTCTTGTCCCATCTCACCCGGTCTCTCTCTCACCTCTACTATTTATTTTTTCGGTATTTTAAACGGTAAGTACGTAAATTGTAAACACAAATTTTGGGACTATAGAGGGTGACCGAATTTTTCTCATTTTGTTTTCGTCTTTCTATTCGTGAATTGTTGGTTTACATTTTATTTATATTATTGTGCAAAATGGGGAAATTGCTTTGAGAGCACATTCTTTGCGGCTATTTGTTCAGTTGTTATTCTTGTTATTTCGTAACATAGTTGTAAGAATAACAATACGAGAATGTTTTCCATTTTAATAAGCCATTTAAATATATGTATGTATATGTACAGTGGGAGAAAAAGTTGGTTTCTTTAGATAAAGGGAAATTATATTAAACTTTATTAAAATACATAGGTATGTATCAAGTTCATACATACCTCATATATCCTTTATTAAAATTTCGTTTTAATTCTAATTTACTGTTGAAGCCAATATAAAATTTTGTATTTTAAAATATGCAAAAATATTTTGATATCTCCACTGTATGTACATATATGTAAATACATATTGTTTTTAGGTACTTTTTAATGATATTACTCATTCATAAAAAAAAGTTGAAAGTTAGAAAAGCCCTAAAACTTATACCGCAGAATTCTGACTAACTTTTAGTTTTTTCACCCAAATCCTAATTAAGTGCAACATTTTGATGGCCAAAAATTAAAATAAAACTAATTGATTGAATTACCCTACTGATTTAGTGGTTTGATTCCATTTAATTGGGGTTCATCAATGAGAAGCGAAAATATTCCACGACAACAGCTGTTCCCACACCCACGCAATCGAATTAAATGCTTTCCGGCGTCTTGTTTATTTATTTTGGGCATGCTTCTACGTCCGATCTTGTTTTGCGGTTTTTGGTATCCAAACGAAATGAATAAAAAAAGTGTTAAGTAATTTAAACATTTGGCATTTACATATGTAAAACCACTTTGTTTGTCTATGCAAAGGTATAACTCCACTTAAGCTGCCCCTGCTGAATTTTATTGCTTTATTTGTTTTGTGTTTCAGTTTTCGCGTTTTGTTTAAGGTCTCTCCTCTTCGGTTTTGCGTTGTTTTCAAAGTCAAGGTTAATTTGACTTTGTCGCTTTGCTGTGGAGCTTCGACGAAAATTAAATCTGTTTATGGGCTTTGTAAATGTAAATGGTTATTTTGCTTTTAGTTTTCCCACCTGGTACTTGCTTTTTTAATAATATTCTAGACTAGGTTATTTAAAATTTTTAAAAGGTTACTCACTTTGTACAGCCAACTGTTGTTGATGCGCCGCCGCACGCTGTAAATTAAAAAAGAAAAAAAAGATTAATTTTTATATTAAGTTAATTATTAGGATAAATTAAGTTATTAAGTTATCTTTATAATTGAAGTCTTTAAATTTTGATAAATATGCTATGTGTTTTACTCATTAACATCATAAATTGAAGCACTTTAACTTTTTTAAATGTGTCAATTTGGTAAACAAATAAACAAAACAAACTTTTTTACTTATTCACAAATTCTATACAAATCTGCAAAACTGGAAAAACAAATAAATAAAAGTTCCAGTTGGCATTTATAAATACGAGTCGTAAAAATACTATTTAATGGTTATAATATTATATATATATATATTTCCAAGGTTTGACTAATAATTAAATTAATTATTCAGCATACCTATTTAACTTTATGTGAAAATATTATAAATAATTGTATATTTATTGCAAGCTTTAAGGTTTATAATATATATTTTCTTAACTATTTTTTATATTTATTTACTTAAATTCCTTACACTATTGACCATCATGGCTCGAATTCCTGGCAGTGATTGCACATCGAGGGAGTGACTTCGCCCTCGCCTTGTTTTATTGGTGGGCGATACGGGCGGCAGGCCTGGTGAGGTGGGCGTGGCAGAACTACTCGAATGAGTATGCCTATATATCCAACGCTTCACCGCCGACATTTTGTCACAATTTTATTGTATATATTTTTGTATTTATATTTTTATTATCACCTCATGTGAGTCATATTTATCAAAGTTCACTTTTTTTTTACTGTTTATTTACAATGAAATGATAAAGAGTTTATCTGCTCAAAAAAAAGAAATTTAAATTTAAATTCAGTTATCTACTGCTTGTTTGCCCGCCCTAGCTGCTTGATTTTCCACTGCTTGTAATTTTTGCTTTTACTACTCAACGCCAGGTGGCGCTTAATTTGTGGTTTTTATACTTAAGCAAAGAACATTGAAATTTTATTAAAAAGTTTTTAACGAGAACACATTTTCGAAGCTATAATTTATATAAATTATTGATCAACATAGCCAAGTCCGCCTGTTTGTTAATTATTTTTATCAGATTCAACCATCCCAGCCATAAATTATGTAAATTTTCTTGTTTTTGCAACGAGAGAAAGTCAATTTATGCATATTTTTTAATTGCCGGCAAGAATTTTCGCGGATTTTTTTAAGACTTTAAGGAAATGGGAAAATAAATGAAATGATGACAATGACGCCGAATAACACTGGAACATTTTGCCATAGCTGTCCCATCTGTCCCAAGTCTTAATACCTTTCTCCGTCACCCCACAAATTAATCCTTGACCCCGAACTCTTTTAATTAACAAATAAGCACAAAGCATGATCGTTGGCAAAAAAAGAAGAATAAACTGATGACGCATTAAAGTTGATTGAACGCAGCAATAAAATAAAGTTCAGTGGATTTGAGAGGAGGCGTGTTTTTGTCGCTTGATTGTCTGCTGTCGTGTGTCGCCCAATTGAAATTGACAAAAACTTTGATTGAAAGGTGCATACTATGAAAAGAGGCAAGCAACACGAGACCAGAAGAAGGCGATTCTATGCAATAAAAAACAATTAAAAGTGGGGCAAAAAAAAAAAAGTTCTTCGACACGGAAATGTATTAATTGTGGCAATGGGTCAAGGGCAAAATAGAAATTAAGGGTAGAAATTAAAGGAAAATATTATTGAAAATTAAGAATGAGATCAGCGAATTAATGGCAATAAACTTTTTTAAGAAATATTATAATTTTACCTTTTAAAAATATTACAATAATAAGAACACTGCTTGGTTTGGCTTCTTAATGGCATTTTTAACTAAACTCTAACCTAGGAAGATCTGCAAAACTTAACTCCTTAACTTAAAAATCAACTCAACGCCAGATGGCGTTTGATAATTTTACCACAATTGCCGAAAATATTTAAGTTCAACCAACCAAAATTTCCACACTCAAAATTGCCGATGGCCAAAACCGCATATCGACAAAGATATAAGCAAATGTCACAAAGATATTAAAACCTATATATATATTCTATATATTCCAACAGAAAGTAAGCACCCGACTAAATAAGCCACCGCAGACTCATGCAAATATATAAAGTCTGAACAAAGTATTTTACCCAATCTTAGTTAATTCTCAGACTTAACACCTGCCAAAGTCCCAAGGAATTGATAATTTCTTAAGCGACTTTTGATTTCCCCATACACCTCGCGGCGTATACTTAATATTGTCAGTTTTGCTTTGAGTTGAGCTTTTGCGTTCTTATCTCAATTTTGATTGTTTTGTTTACGTTTTCCGGTGTAACTTTGTTTTTAGCACGACAAATACTAGGCAGCAAATATTATAGGCGTAAATAATAAAAGTATAATTAGACTTTATGCGACTTTTGCCCATTTGGAAATACTTAGTTTGCTTGCCATTTCGAATAGAAAAGCTTTCTTTGCCATTATCGTCAATATTTGCTAGAGAAATGCGCGGAAAATTTAATAAATAAATAATAGACCAGCGAAACAGACTCCCTTGGGCAGACAAAACAAAGCGCAAACAGAATGTAAAAGTCATTAACGTTAATTAGCTGCTCGAGCAAAAGCAAACAAACAAAAAACAAAAGCAAAAGGGAGGCAGGCAAGTGTGATCGGAAGGGTTTTTCAGAGAGGAAAGGCTGAGGGGTTCAAGAGGAACTGGACCAACTTTCAGCTATAAATCAATACGGTTTAGTTCCATTTAGCATTCCATGTCTGGTTGGACTACTGCCAGCGGCTTCTGATCAGAATCGATTCAAGTTCGCCAAATCCAGAAGCCTTTCATTAACATTGCGTTAACAGGGGCATGTTAATTTCCAATTGGCATGTGACCAACCACGTAAAATATTTTTAAATTTCGTTAGCAAACAAGAAGAAAGCCAAGCCAAATTAAGTAAGCCTTTCAGGGAATGTGGAATATTTAATTGCAAATTTGTATTGGTAATAAAAAATAGTAAGGAACTTTTGAAAGTCTTTTTAGACGCTTAGTTTTATCAATATAGTTTGGGTAACGATTGGAAAATATGATAAGAAACCAATTAATTCTAAATTGATTTTAAGACACTTTAGAATAATATTATATTATGTGACATACCAGTTTAGTGTCTCTATTTATATTTAAAATAAAAAACGTAAACACTTTTAGTTTCACTATCTAGCACTATTACTCAGGTCTTCCCCAATTCTCTTTTAGAAAAAACCACTTTGGAAGTTAGCAAAATTCCAAACGCAATCCGCAACGATTATAAAAACTCTACATACAAAATAATATATATTTTTTACACATTCCCAATCAAGCTGCTCCCACCATAAACAAACTTCCACATCAACAAAAAAGCTTCGACGGCTGTCATGCGGTTGACCTCTAAGCAAGTGAGATAAAATCAAAATAAATACAAATAATAGAAACTCAGAATATTGGTAAATAGTGAGAACAGAGGAAAGTTTTCACTCTTGACAAATGATTGATTAACAAGCAAAAACCCAAAAGCAGCCAGAACAGAACAAAAGCCAAAAACAGAAATAGAAATAATTAAATAAACGAAAACAGAACCAGAGAAATGTCTGTTTGAAATAATTCACTTTCTTCTTTTTACTTCCTTGTGGCAACCAAAACAGAAAAGACGCCTAAGTGGGCATTTGCCATTTAGGGAAGGCGGATTCCTGATATGGCCAGAGCTTTCCGATTAGGAATCACACCTCTTTTCCGATTCGCCTTTCAATCTACTCAATTATCAATTATCAGCTGCAATTATAGATTTTTTCGATTTTGGTTTATTCCCCCGACTATCTGCCAAAACTGTCTATTTAATTTAGCCGCCCTTACTTGCATTTATCTTATCTCCTCACCAGCGCCTTCCGTTGTATATTCTAAATTAATTTCTCGCCGCTTTCGCTTCTCCAAGCCAGAATCCTCCTTTTTGTTTATTTGTGGCTAATACTGATAAGTTTTTGTTTTTAGCTCGTTTTCATTTTGCAAATAGTACTTATCGTCTGGTTAAGTAATCACAGGAAAAGGGCCAGTTAGCAGTGATATCATACCATTGAGAGATGCCATAAACTAGTCAACCGCCAGTCATTATTAATGGCCAACAAATTAACCAAAAACAATGTCAATGCGTGGAAAATCCCAAAGTGTGATTAACAGCTGCAAGTCCTCAAAGGAAAATGTCAAACTATTTGGACATATTTCTTTAGTTCTATCTCTAATGGAATAATAGAGTTAAAACAATTAGCTTTAGTGATTAATAAGTGCAAATTGCTGAGACTGGTATGAAATATGTTTTAGTTTATAATTGTCTTTCAACTAAAAAGACCAGCTGGGAGGTAGCAAGCTTTGCGCAGCCCTACCCACTCCTCTCCATCCAAAAGTTCGACACTTAACAAATTAGTGACTAAAGAATTGGCTTAAAGGCTTTGAGCACAACGAAGTCATCAGATAGCACACCATCAGCTATTATTTAGCGAATTTCATGAATACGATAATATGTAACAACAATAACCAAAAGAGCAACAAGAATACCGATCACATGCTGCCCATTTATTTTCTTGGCCACTAACACAACAACTTTCTTGCCGCACTATGTTTTTGCTTATTTCCATGCCATTTCTTTTAATTAAATAATATAATTGTGAAAACTATGAACGTGACGCGTGAGTTTCGCCAATGAACTTGAAAATTAAAAACACAAATTGTCCGCCAAAAAAGAGGAAATCCACGAGCGTTATAAATTAAATTAATTGCAGCGGCACATTAGAACTTAAATGGCAACAGAAATGAAATGGCATCAAGTTGTTTGATTTGAAAATAAACGTTTTGGTTAGTATATTTGCACGACACAAATGCAAAAATATTATTTTGTTTACTCGCTGCTGCTGGCTTTTGTTTTCTAAATTTAAAATTCATTTACGTCGATAAGTCCGTTTTATTTTAGTAATTTCCTAAAACTCAAAATGTCATCTAACACAAGTAACGCCAGAACTAAGTGTCCCCATTTAGTATTTATATTTATTTACTATTTACAAGCCCTTTAGCGATCTTCTCGAGTAATAAATTATTTCAAACAGCACTCCAGGCACACATTTTATTTCATTTCGAACAGTTGGGAGCGTTTTCTTGCCAAAGAAAACAATAAATATCTAGACACTTTCGATGTCAACACACGAACGCGGTTTGGCTTATTTTTGCTTTGAGCAACGCACAGATGGAATGAAAATATATATTTATATTCCAGTTCAATATCCGGTGGACAGAAGCCGAAGGATCAGGCGTTGAAAAGTACGCGCACAATTTGCCGCACGGCCAGTTGAATTGGAAATGCAAGTGAAAATAACAACACAGAACCGATCGGAGGCTAAACAAAAAATGTTGAAATGACAACGACGGCGACGCTGGCGTATACGTAATATACGTATGTGCGCGACTTTTCCGCAAAAGTCCAAAAACTGACAGAGAAAAGAGAGAGTATCGAAGAAAGATGACAGACAGAGAGAGAGAGAGAGAGAGAGAGAGAGACCAAGAAACAGCTGTGGCGATCACCTGTTGGCAAAGCTTTCGCTCTCAAGGATTTGACCACTTTCATACACTTGGAAAAAACTTTTATTATTATCTACAAAATAATAAAAATGACTATTAATTTTTCTTTAAAGATTAAAGTTTCGCTTTCTAAAGTTTTGCTCAAAATCAAGAAATAATTTCTATAAAGAAATTAGAGTAAAATTAAACTAAGAAACTGTTTACAAAAAGTAAAACTAAATATTTTCCTCAGTGCCCATTATTTCCAAATTAAACTAATTTCTTAAAAGCTTTTTTCACACGCGGTAAGTTAATTCTTTCGCCTCTCCTATGATAAGCCATATATAAAAACACAAAAGCGAAGCTTATCAATCAAATCGATTGAGGCCTATCGCTGCCAAATCAATTATTGTGCATAATTATTTATAGACATGATGATTATTAATGACGCCTTCTTACCGCCGATAAGGCTCTCAAGTGGCCTTTTCGAGACAACATGGCATTTGCGAGTGACACTCCGGAAATCATTTAATCTGACACCTATAGCAATCTAATGGTACACGATTTGGGCTTATTTATGAGCTAAATAACCCATAATTATTCTTATCCCACTAATTGAAAAGGCTGTGATTTGCTAGGGGAAATATTATATATCAAAAAGTACATGTCGATTTATGTAAGGGAATGGGGTAGAGTTTTGGCTTGACTTATGAAATATTAAAAGCGCTTTGTTTTAATGTTTTATATAAATACACCAATTGCTTTAAGAATTATTTAAATAACTATTATTTACAGAGAACATTAACAGAATGATCAAATTAATACTTAAGATTTCAAATTTAAACTGAATGTTGATATTTTCAAATAGCGAAGACACATTCTTAGCGCTGAACCGATAGCGAAGAAATGAACCACGAGAGAAGATTCTTCTAGAATACGCCAGGTGGCGTGAAGGCTTTAGTGAAGATATGAACCGATGTTTCTACAAGTCCATCGATAATTATAAAAACCATAGTTTAAATTTTAATTTTAACGTACGATTTACATTGTTATCAATATTTACTCGTAATTTGGTAAATTCAAGAAAATAAAAACGTAAAATCAAAATTTAAGAAAGTCAAACATCATACGTAGTTTAGTAATTTATTAGCTTAACAACTACCTAAAAAGAAATTGCTTAAAAACAAACTTAGGGATTTATTAACGGCAAAAATCATATTATCTTTACCAACTGGATTTCAATGATAAATTTAAATACAATTTTTACACTTCCTTCTCTTTTGCATTCTTTACAAGATTAAATCATGTGCCATTAAGCATATAATTTAAAAGTACTTTGTTTTCCTTCAGACATTGTGTCAAATAATTTGACCTACTTACAGCTGAACCATAATTAAGTAATTAAAACGAAGTAAGCTCAACTTACCGCTTTGCGTTTGTCGGCTTCGCTGACAACCGAACTGGATCGATGCCGGAACAGATCCATAACCTTGGTCATTGGCGACCGCTGGGAAGAGTTTGGACGCACCGCCGTCACCGTGTGGTAATACTGCCCAAGAAAACCTCAATTAGTCAAGGGAAACCAAATATTTATCCAAGATTTCAAGACTCACCTGCGCGTCGCTACCTTGATGCGGATGTGCACTGCCGTCTTTGTACTTGCTCTTCGCGGTGGATTGTGTGCCATCCGCGCTCGTTATCGTCACGGCGGGATGCTGACGATGGCTAAAGTTCTGCATTGCCACCTTCATAGAGTTCATAAGGCCACCGGCTCCTCCCGCTCCACCCGACGTCGCAGCTGCTCCAGCTGCCTCAGCTCTTGAGGCGGGAGCCGTACCTCCGGAAACGGAGTACGTACTGCTGGTGGCACTGCTGTCTGCGGAAGAGGGATCCAACAGGTGCTTCTCCTTCTGCCGCTTGGCATCGGATTTCGCTCTGGGTCGGAACACATCGAAGATAGTGGGCCTTCTATTGGGAGACGCTATGCCATGCACCGTGGACTGATTGAGCACGGGTGAATCTTCACCACTTCTCCGCCGTTCCAGTGAACCGGATCTTGATCCAACGCCTGCCATAGCCATCCGTTCTGTGCTGCGTGAGATCTTCTCGCTGTGTCGGTTAATCTTCTCCAGCTTGGCTGCCTCGCGTTCAATCCGTCGCGCCGTTTCGCGCTCCAGCTTGCGGGCCTCCTTTTCCCGCCGCGACTGCTCCTTCTCTTGGCGTCTGTGAGGGGGTAAAGAAATTTTAGCATTTTTATTTAGAAATAAATGACATTGAACTAATCACTAAGCCTGATGGTGGAGTTTTTTGTTATGTTTTACTAATCTTAGTTAAAAAATTAATCTCTTAAGTACCATCGTAAGCATTGCAAAACTGATAGTTGTCGGAAAGTGAAATACCAAATAAAGCCAAGAACGATAGCAGAGAGCACCAAAGTGAAAAAATATGTTTAATCAAATAAAATAGATTACTGAGTTTTACTTTTTATTAAGATGCTTCAGTTTTATAATATTATAATATTATACTCTTCACTATTAGTAGCATTTTATGAAAAGACTTTTCTATTAGCCTACTTTTACTGTAAGTTTTAAGAAAATAATAATTTCTAATAAATATGAAAGCATTTTTAATTGACTAAAAATTACTCAAAATCAAAGAATTAAAAATAAAAAATATAATCTTCTGGCCTACATTCCAATTAATCATTATTCCAATGTCATATTTTAAGGATTTTCAGTTTTTCAGATAACTCACCGCTGCTCCTTCTCCATCTTTTTGTAGGCCTTCTTCGCCGCCTTGGCATTTGGCTCTGCGGGGGCACTGGAAGGTCGGGATCCTGGTATCCGTCCGGTTCCACCGAGGCTGCCATCTTGCTCCTGGAAACGAACATGACGTTTTTGGGAATTAGTTTGTGCCTGACTTGGTTGGATGGTGGGATTAGAATTGGCATCTAGTTGGCTTTCGATTTCGATTTCGAGAGTATTTTGCATGTTTCTGGCGCCGCTGGCCAAGACAAACTAAAACTAAAGGCTGATTGGAAAGACCAAGTTGAACGCCATTATCCATTACCCATTGTCCCCCGTATCCTTTCACCTCTCACACACTTATTTATACCAGCCATCCCTCTCTGTCTCTCTCTTTCCAGGAGCTGCAATTATTGCCGAATTGTCTACAAATACAATTTATTCGCCACAACACACAATGCTCAGTAGGGAATACGGCGGCGTAACCCGGAGTGACGAGTGAATTGGAGGAGCGGGCGACACCCGATGCGTCCTTTTAATTGGGCCAAGACGAAGGCAAAAGGAAGGAAGACCTATCCCGCCTGTTGCTTTTGCCAATCCTGCGGCGCCTTCAATCGAACCGAATCAATTAATTTATGATTACGCAAAATTGCAACCGAATGTGGGCCAGGACAACAGTTGCCAAGGAAGCAATCGTTCAACGGTTCTAGGAATTCTACCCAGAGTTCCAAAGAGCTTAATCTTGCTGGCTATGGAAATCTATTTAGGGAAACTTGTTGAGAGCTTTAAGTTAACGATAATCACGTTTAAGGGGGATCCCATTTTAAAGACATCATAATGCTAATGAGAAGCTAGTAATGACAAATGATCTGTCATGCGGATCAATAATCATTTCTGAGAAAGAATAAAATAATTTTTCAGTTTATTTGATTTTCTATCTATTTCAGACATTTTCCCTCTGCTGCTACGAATGGAAAAGAAAATGTGAATAGAATTAGTATACAACTTTAATTACAGCTCTCTAAAGCCTATTTGCTGTATTATTTCTTGGAAGTGTCACAAAATAGTCAACAATAAAAAGCTTTAGATGAGTTATCAAAGTAAATCAATTAACTTCTAGTACTTCAAATTGCTTACAACACTAAAATCAGGACGTAATCACTAGTAAAGCTAAGAGTATCTTCACTTTAGATAATAACAATAAATGCCCCAAGAATGTAGTCTGATGATTTCCTTCATTTGTTAAAAACTTTCACAATCACTTTAACAAATTTTTTTTTTGTAATTTAGCCTTTTTAACGTTGGCAAGAAAAACACCTGTATTTGGTTTATTTTTAGCAAAAACTACAAAGAGATCGAAGCCGAAAAGTGTTGCTTTATTTTTGCTCAGCTTTTTTATGGCCAAGGGTTTCATTACCAAACTGCCGAGTCACGTGCCCCGAGGGTCCCAGACGACTTCGATGAGCTAACAACAAAGACGGTCTTAAATGGGAACAGTGGGACAAAATGGGTTAAAGTACACAGAGAGAAAAGCAATGTCAAATAGAAAATGTGTGTGTGATTTGGGGGGAGCTTTAAACTTGATATCAGCTGTTTGGAGACAGTCTAGTTCAATATTTAAACAGCTATCAAATTTGCTAGACGTTGGGTTCGGTAAGAGAGTTCCCTTTTTAAGTTTTGGGGAGTGGCTGGAATTGGACAAAACTGACGTCATTGTTTGCCAAGACATGGTAAATATCTGCCTATATATATATATATGGAAATTTTATACTCATATTTGTACGTACGCGATATGTCCGCGTTCCGTCAAAACAAATAAGAAGCGACGAGTTCCCGAGCCGGGAACGTTGACAAATTGTGTCATGATAAGCGGAAAGCTGCCACCCAATACAGAGAGAGATACAGATAAATAACCATTCTATACTATACTATAATATACTATATATAGCCTACATGTGTGGCACGATAAAAACAAGCCCCAAAAGGCTGATTTTTGGCCGTGTTTACTTTCCAGTCAGACAAATAAATTCGAAAAGGCCGAAGAGGAAGCGAAAGACAAAGGTGCTCCGACTGCCTCTTTCTCTTTTTAAACTATAAATAGACAACTTTATGAGTATCGTTGGAACAATCGGCTGAAGCGAATTATTAATATTGTATAAACAAAGTGTAAACAAAATGTATAACTTAAAAGCAGCCAAAATGCGCAGGTCAAGTGGGAAGGCGGATTTAATCCACTCAAAAAGGTGCAAAAATATCTCAAAAAAACCCCGATTAAAGTTCAAAAAAATTCAAAAAAAGCAAGTCAGTTCTGGATAACTAACGACTTAAGAAAACCCTCTTAATGTTCTCGGTTAAAAATACATTTTACCAATGATGTATTGGACCGGTTAGTATCACATTATTGACTCAGTGCCCTTCCCTGTTTTCGTGCCTCCGACTTTTCACTGCCCAATTTATACTCGCTAAATGATTTCATAATGGAAAGTGCACATATCTCAAATGACGTCAGTCTGTTTTGTGAATATAAAGATTACACATAGCCCTGTTTAGCCTCAATTAAGATTGCGATTTAGATTTTATGTGCTTCGGTTTCCTAAGATCTTTTTACTACCATTTTAATAACGATAATCATCATCAGCTTAAGCTAACTCTTTAAACATCTGTTTGTATTAACCAAAAACTTAAACTGTCGTTAGCCTTTGGTCTTAGATATAGCAACCATCTAGTCGTTCTTTAACTGATGGGTTTTAAAGTAGAAGAATAAACTTTTGAATAACATTTAACCTTTACAAGAAAAACTAAGCTATTGATCGATGATTATGTTAATCTTCATCTGAACCCCTTCACTTACATCATCCGACACAGAAACCGAAACAGATCCCGAGTTGGTCAGCTGGCGAGAGGGACTCGTGTTGGAGGCACCACTTTCGCTCCTCAGCAAACGAGGCATGGTCGATGCACCGCCCAAGGAGACAGGCCTCTGCTGCTGCTGCTGTTGTTGCTGTTGCAATAATGAAGGAGGAGCCAGCGAAGGCGCTGCTCCATCCTGCCGCTTTATCCAGATATCGTCCAGCTCCCGTTCGCTGGGCGTTCGCGGTTTGTTGGCTAAACTATTTGTATCACAAGTGAGGCTTTGGTGATTGCTATTGCCCAGGCCAGTTGTATTCAGGGCCACGTTGCTTTGGGCCGGTGTGCGAATCTCCACCAGCGATGGCTCGAAGAACTGTTTGGACAGATGCGGTGCGGCAACGGGAAACCGATTGGAGCCATATCGCTGGGAGAATAAACCCTGCACGGAGGAATAGCCCCCGAAACTGGAGGGAAAGCTGATGGTGTGGGCATTGGAGCTGGCCTTCAGTTTGCTCAATTCCTTGGCCTCAACTCGCAGTTCAGGCGTCTCCTGGGCTAGGGACACCTTAAACTTGCCCTTGATAATTAGTGGCGGTTCCGTGGGCAAGGGAAGAGGTGATACCGGTTCCTGCACCACTGGAACTGGGGTTTCCTTGGCTAAATCCAAGCTGGTGACCGGAGCAGGATTTGGTGGATTAACTGGAGGTGGAGGCGATGGTGGTTCCTGGGTGTGAAGTAACGCCTTCAGGGCCTTTGGTAGAATCGTGGCTGGTATGGGTGGCGGCGGAGGAGGTGGCGGCGGTGGCGCCTCACTCTCCTCAATATTCCGCGTATTAATCCTATCGATCTTGTGCATAAACTGCTGCCTCAGCCTCTCCAGGTCCTTAAACTTCTCCTTGGACGCCTCATCCTGCGGCGTTGGAGGTCGTGGTGGTGCCTTGGAAGCTCTCTCGGATTTAGTTACTTCTCCTTGAGATGATCCTCCGCCCAACTGGGTCTTATCACCCTCGTCCTCGTCGTCCTCCTCTTTACACTGCGACAAACGACGACGTTCAATGTAGGGAGGTAGCAAATGAAAATTCCTTTGGTGACCCGAATAGAGATCAACCTTAGCAAATTTCCCACTGAGACTCAGTCCCAGACTGTGGTGCACTTCATCCCCCTCATTGTCATCATCATCGTCATCCGGATCATCCTCATCATCGCTGCTGCTGCCACTGCTGCTGTGAAAGTCAAAAGAGTTCGATCGCGGTATGCAGCTGAGCATCTCGGAGTTGATGTGCTGGCCATGTAGAGCACCTGGCAAGCCCCTCATCCGCTCCTCTCGCTGCTGCACGACTTGTCCCAGGCTGCCGGATGAAGCGGAATCCGTGACCTGTTCATTGGCACTTGCCTCCGAGTCGGTTTCATAACCATCCAGGACACCCTGCTCAAGGTCATCCATGGTGGACTCGAAGGCACACTCAAAACTATCCTCGAATGGCTGATAGGGATTGGCAGGTGGCGGCTTCTCCGGCTGCTCGGGTTTCTCCTTGGCATCCTGGCCCTTATCCTCCTGGACGCCCATTACTGCTGCATTGGCCAACGGCTGCTGCTTCACTTGCTCCTCGATGAAGTCGCAGTTCGTGGCCATTTGGTTATTTTGCGTTTATATCTTTGGATTTTTGCTTGGGATCTCGCTGCTCCTGCTGAGTCTCGATGGATTTATCTCTATGCGCTATGCAAAATATTTTCTTTTGTACGACATTGATATGCCGCCTTCTTTGGGAATCTGAAAGAAGAGTTTTTCAATATCAATCGGCTGTCCAGAGTTCAACTCCAACTGAGCCTTCGATCATTTCCCTTGTGTGTTGATATGAGCTGTCGGACACCTTTTTCACCTCTATTTCAAGCAGTAAACAAAACACAGACCTACAAAAGCCAGCAAACATTTTTCTAGAGGTGAAGGTCGATTGATATTTTTCTCCCACTCTTTATTCATCAAGACAGAAATCGAGCAAAACAAAAGCTAATTTTATTATTTACGCTTCGTCATCGGCGTGGTTGTTGAAGGAAAAACACGAGTCAAACGCGAATTTTGCCAAATGGAAAAATAAAAGAAGAACAGAAGCTGGAAGTGTTCGACATATGGCAGCTGATGGACTGACAGAGCAGAAATCAGCCAAAGATATATTTAAAAATGTAGAACAAGCTGCCCGAAAAGCGATTTTACGTGAAGGAAACATCATCTACAATCTACGTTGGCTTAATGGGAATACTTCTTTGGCTTTTCCATAAAGATAGATTCCATTTAATGTACATAAATCTTAAGCTAATCTACACATATATACTTTGAATCTTTTTCCATTCCACATAACTTTATAACAACAAGAATTATCCTCTTTTCCCAGAATGACTGAGAACAGCTACATAAATTATTTGCATTATTGAAACAAAAATTTCATCTAAATTTAAACTAACTTTGCCAAACAAACCCGTGAATCATAAACCAAATCAAAAATGATTTACCCAAATATATGGCCGCAATAAATATAATCGTATCTAAGCAACAAGTGGCTGAAATTATGGCTAAAACCGATTGGGCCTGGGCCCAACCCAAAACAAACCTCCCCCGTTTTGTGCCGCCGAAAAAAAAAAAAACGCCATCAAAGACAAACCGCAAGTTGTTGTGTAATCGAGCATATGGCGTACGCATCTAATAGATACCAACCGCAATTAATGGCAATTAGATACAAATGTATCTGGTATCCGTGCATATGCAAAATGCCAGCGCCTATTTTGCGGTCTTCTGTTGGCGGTGGATGACGCACTTGGCTGACGAAGTGACGAGTGAGTCAACCTAAAAGGTCACCCAAAAGCTCGAACATCAAATCTTACAAGTACCGAAGCTAAAAGATACTTAGATACTTTTCACGCTCGATTCGGTGGAATTTCGCTTAGCTAGAAATATCGCATTAATTACACGGGCACGTTGTTGTTACTGAGTCAATCCCAAATCGCGACCAATTTCCAGTTAGCTGGCATTATTGCAATGTATCTGTATCTGTATCTGTATCCAATGGATACTAGCATGCAATTACACGACCCCCAAAGCTCCTCCCTCCAGTTAATTGCATAACTGAATCAATTGCAGTCAGCTGATCGCTGGACTATATAATATATATCTATATGCATCTATTAATTATTAGCCATAGCCACCGATTGACCCGCCTGCCATTTTATCTATGTATCTGTATCTGCTGTTTACGAGTATCTTTTTGCATCTGCGGTTGACTTTGCCAGACACTCGGGCGTCTGTGCTGTGACTTGAGACTTTTAAAAGGGGAACAATTAATTAGTCGCACATTTCTTTCTAGATTTGTTCAACTTTTGAAAGTTTAGTTAGGCAAAAGCCTCTCAAGTTCAGACGCACAATACGTGACTCTCCTCCGCATTTTTCTCTCACTTCCATTTTGAATTTCCAACGCATTGTTTGCACTTTGCTTTCAAACAACAAATGCATATTGTTTTTAGGCATTGAACCCTCGTCACGTAATCGATATTATTGTTTAATTGAAGAAACCGCACAGCCAAACCAAATGCTTGATTTTCGCTAAACAAAACACAATATGGAAAAGGCAACCGCAAAAGTATCTCAAGCAAACTTTTAGCAACAAAGAAACGTCAACCAACGACGACGGCGACGACGACGACAATAATTAAATGGCATGCCAAACGCAAAATTGGCATTCAAACAATTTTCTGTTTCATTTGGCAATATAAAATATCGCCTGAATAGCGAACTTAATAAAAATGCAACTTTACTGGGTGTTGGCTGAAGGAGGGGTCATCCAGTTCCGAATGACATAAGTTGAGAGATTACAGGCTGGCAATAAATTATCCAAAGCTGCATTCTCAATGGGTGGTATAATGAAATTATATGAATACTAAACAGGGTCTACGGAGTTCTTTGATACTCTAGAATAGTCTCACAATTTTTAAATATATTTTTAGATATTTAACTTTAAGATTTCTCTTTAACAGAAAGCAAGTTACAAATTAGTTTTTACTAAGAAATTCAATTTTAGTTTCCCAAACAAAGATTAATCTTTCTTTATAAAGTGTTTTATTTTTTATAATAATTCTTAGTTGATAATATTTCTTACTTTTTTAATTTAGTAGTTAAGTAATTGGGCCCTTATGGACTTTTCTTTATCACTTTTAAGAACAGATATCATTTTTGAGGCCTTATCTTTTAAAGTTTTGGCCTGATTCTTACATTTTATTTATGTAATTTGAGATAAGAAAACATTCGATTTTATATAAGATCATAAGCTACTGGTAGCTCTTGTACATGACCTTTGCCTCATTAAAATGTATTTTTCTTAATTTGTATTTTTAATTTTATATATAGTCCTTTATACAACCACCTTATACACCACATATAGTATACCAATACGCGGTACTAATGCAAGTCGTCTACGAGTATAAATATGCTAAATGCATTTGCTGCGGTGACTTTGGCACTTGATATTAGGTTGGTGCACTGCAAATATATATAAATATTTATATAAAAAAAATATATATATATAAACAGTACACAATGAGTGGGTTGTAATTGCTGTTAAATGATGTAGGATTGAGCAGCTGGCTCAAGGCGCTGCCACAAGTGATTGAATGAATGATCGTCGGAGTGCTCTTTGGAGGTTTATGCAATCAATCCGTTGACACTCTCACGTGATCATAATAGATGATTCACTCCACTTGTCGTTTTGGATAGCTGATAGTGCAAATGTCACTTGCTTTCCACTGAACTTGGAGCGATTCATTAACCGCTGTCAGCCGGCGCATAATTGATATTCCAAACGTCGCTAGGAGTGAGAACCAAGTGGGTTAGGCATTTAGAAAGCGAATAACACAAGGCTGAAGACATTTCCTATTCAAGATAAGAACTTGAAGTTATGACAATGAACTCCGTCAGGAAATTAGCGTTGCAATGTGGATTCCAGTGGGTGGAGGATCGTGGGATTTCGCAGTTGCCCGCTAATTGGTTAACTTTTCCACTTTCAAGTCTAGCCGCCAATTAGAAAATGTTTGCGGAGTTATAAATTGGTCTTCTTTGCCGCTTGTGTGGGAGGCCTATCATGGAGACTTAAATTTCCAATTGGCACTATTAATTATGAGCATAAACTTCATAATATTTTACAACTAAGAAAGTTATTCATTGTGAAGCTAAAACACTAACAAAACTGTGTATAATGTCATACAAAATTATTCTGATAATCAAATTATTCTTCATTATTTTACCTATTAAAGTTGTTTCCAACGATTAAGCCAGTTTTCCATGAGAACCACTTTTTTGCACCGCTTGACAGTTTAATAATATTATTAATCAAGCAACGACAGCGGTTATGACAATGTTTTTGAGCAAGCAATTTAAGATTGCATACTAAAGACAAACTGAACTTAGTTGCTATAGTGTAACTATGAAGACAGGCTTGCCTGTATATTAAGGAACTCCAGTTAAGCCCTAAAAGGTAAGCAAATGATTTTCATGAGGTATTCCTATAAAAAGACTTCTTTCACATTTTGAAAGAAACCCCAAAATGTAAACCCCAAAGAAAATAAGAAACACAACCCAAAGCTTAAATAAATTCCAATCTTAAGCTTGGAAATATTTAAACGATTTGGGGCAACAATAATTGGCTGCGATCGAAATTGAGAATTTCCTCTTTCGCCCGGTTACTCAATGCCTCGGGCTCTCGGGCGTAATCAAATTGTTGGCTATGCTGGCATTTCATTTTCAATTTCCATTTCCATTTGCTCAGCAGAAAATCGAGGAAACTGCAGGGGCAGGCAGTATCTCTGTATCTGAATCTGAACGATCGGCCGCTGTTGTCAAGCGCACTTCCATTCGCATTTTCCACTCTCGTCTCGACTCGACTCGCTTTTCTGTGTCACTTTGGAGAGGCCCTGTCTGTCTGTCCGTTTGTCTTTCTATATGCTTCTCGAGTCGACGTCAGTGTCACGTGTTTGGGTTTTGCCATTGTTTAAGTTGTTTTCTCTGTTTTTGTTTCTGTTTCGGTTTTTTAGTGCCATTGTTATTCATTATGTTTTGCACTCGGTTTCAGTTTCGATTTCTGTTTATGTCAACAAACGGCCGACTGAAGGGGCGTAGCCAGGCGGAGCACCGCCGGTCAAGGTGGCAGTGCATCTAAACTGATGTGATCTATTGGTTACTTGAAGATCACTCGTTACGTTGCTAAGAAAATGTAACTAAGGTGTTTAATGAATTTTCAAAGTTTTAGTGCATCTTCTAACGATGTCTGTATATTTATTGGGTCTTTTAAGCTGAGATACTAAGGACAAACCCATAAGTTAAAGCATTAAATAGAGTTTTAGATTAATATCAGATTAGGTTATAATGCACCTAACCTAACAAAGCCCTAATCCTATTTACTTCCCATATCCTGTTTTCCCATATCAGCTATATAATATAGAATTCCCATCTACTCAATACAAACATCAGACCAAAGGGTATAAAAATCCGGATGATTGTAAAGGTTAAAGTTTGCTTTGCCTCAGGTTTTCCCACAATGTTGGCTTTACTTTTGGGAAATTCCGTTTAGTCCTTCTCCTAATTAGCCATCAACACTTGCCCTAGTTCTCCTTGATATTGGCAATGTAATTGCCGCAATTACAGAAGGAAAACGTCTAAGGAAATGCTATAAGAGCTAATAATGGAATATGGCCCAGGTGTCGCAGAAGTCATTTAGAAAATTCAATTACAGAAATACATAAATAAGTTTTTCCAAGTCCAAGTGCATATCGTTTAGGTAGGTGAGAGTAGGTTCTTTCAGTTAGGAATGAAATCTAGTTTATATTATGTTGGAAAAATGTAAATAATTTTTGAAAAACAAATTATAAATGTTATCGAAAGTCTGTAAGTTATAAAGGCCTACAAAGTCCAAAGATTTTGACTTTTAACTGATGATCAAAGTTGTTCATTAAATAGAATACAAAATACAAAAAAAGTTCAAAAAAGTTAGATTTAAAACCGAAATAGATTAAAAATGTTATTAGAACATTTTTAGCCGCAAACACACCGCTAAGATCGTTAAACTGGTTTCTGTTTTTGGTCGAAGTGAGCCATTAAATGAGATTGCTAGCTGCATGACCAAGTGACGATCAGGGTAGCAGAACAAAAGCCAGTTAAACCGCATTCGTGTGTCCGACTATGGTCGAATCTGCGTAGAGCTTAGAGCGTAGAGCGTAGAGCGTAGAGTCGAAACAATTTATAATACTCAAATACATGCAATTATTGATTTTATAAGTAATGCCGTGTTATCTGATTGTTTTTGCTATCCGGCCTGCCGCTACCTCCCACCCAACCGCAAAGTTCCCTCCCGGCGAGCGAAAAATATTCGCACGTTCCCCGTCCATTTGGGAGGGAATCCGCACTCCGAAGTCTAGACAATTCAGTTGCGTCGCGACTTTGGAAGCCTCAGGTCTTCTGCTCGAAGGAGGCAATCGGCTTAAATAGGATAACCCTTTGGCCAAAGTTATAAACACAACCCAGAGATGCAAGTACCTCGGGTGAAGCTCCTGATGGGCTCGGGTGCCATGTTCGTCTTTGCCATTATCTATGGCTGGGTTATCTTCCCAAAAATTCTAAAGCTAATGATTTCAAAGGTGTGATCGAGGTGTAAGCTCTAAGTTTGATCTAATCTTGGCTTTCCCTCGTTAGCAAGTAACTCTTAAGCCGGGCTCGGATGTTCGTGAACTGTGGTCCAACACTCCCTTCCCCCTGCACTTCTACATCTATGTTTTCAACGTCACCAATCCCGACGAGGTCTCCGAAGGTGCTAAGCCAAGATTACAGGAAGTGGGTCCCTTTGTATTCGAGTGGGTTTCGGAACTAGTTTTTGTTTATATTTTAATAAATCAGTTTTACTATATATTATTTGAAGTGAGTGGAAGGACAAGTATGATTTGGAGGATGACGTCGTCGAGGACACTGTGAGCTTTAACATGCGGAATACTTTTATATTTAACGCAAAGGAAACGCTTCCACTGACGGGCGAAGAGGAGATCATACTTCCGCATCCTATAATGCAGGTGAGGATTGGGTGAAAACTTAGTAAGCTCTCTCTATGAGAGAAATAAAAGTATTTGAAAGTGATTGGTTCCGATTATTAACTTGGGTATATTCCACAACTCTTTTAAACCTTCCCTTTGTTTTTAATAAGAACATTTAAGTTAGTCTGTATACCTGCCAAAAGTCCAGCAGGAAAAGTAGTACACATGCATATCACTTTAAATTAATACTTGAAAATTTTAATATTTTAATTTCACAATATAAATTTTATAGCAACCGCAGGCAGAACATTAGAGATTCTGCCGGCGCATGGCCAGAGCTATTGGCAATTGCATTTAAGGCGCCAGCTAATGACCACGTGGCCCATTGTTAGCCATGTGAATTATGCAAATCACATTCCCAGCCCCATAATGGCAGCCACAAAATTAACCCATTAAATTCGACAAACAAAAATAGGCTGTGCCGGTTGTGTGTGTGGAAATAGCGTCTTTTGTATTTCGTAATTATTATTTTCTTTGCTTAATTTGCAGCCTGGCGGCATCTCCGTTCAAAGGGAAAAGGCTGCCATGATGGAGCTCGTTTCCAAAGGATTAAGCATAGTCTTTCCGGATGCCAAAGCCTTTTTAAAGGCCAAGTTCATGGATTTGTTTTTCCGAGGGATTAACGTGGATTGCTCCTCGGAAGAGTTTTCGGCCAAGGCCCTCTGCACGGTCTTTTACACGGGAGAGGTTAAGCAGGCCAAGCAAGTTAATCAAACACACTTTTTGTTCTCTTTTATGGGTCAGGTGAGTTCCCTAACTGTACTCTAACTAAAAGTTAGTTACAGCTTACCCTGTAGGCCAATCATTCCGATGCTGGAAGGTTTACAGTTTGCCGTGGAGTCAAGAACAACAAAAAGTTGGGCAAGGTCGTGAAATTTGACGATGAGCCGGAGCAATCCATTTGGCCGGACGGCGAATGCAACACCTTTGTGGGCACCGACTCCACTGTTTTTGCCCCAGGTCTTAAAAAGGAGGATGGCCTGTGGGCCTTTACTCCAGACCTTTGTCGATCTTTGGGCGCATATTATCAGCATAAGTCATCGTACCACGGAATGCCATCGATGAGATATACCCTCGACATGGGGGATATACGTGCTGACGAAAAACTGCACTGTTTCTGTGAAGATCCCGAGGATCTGGACACGTGTCCACCCAAAGGAACCATGAATTTGGCAGCCTGTGTGGGAGGTCCTTTGATGGCCTCCATGCCACATTTCTATCTAGCTGATCCAAAGTTGCTGGCTGATGTGGATGGTCTTAATCCCAATGAAAAGGATCATGCGGTTTACATAGACTTTGAACTTGTAAGAAAGGAATTTTATATTGTTGATATTAGAATTTTATTAATTTAAATCATTTTCAGATGTCTGGAACACCCTTTCAGGCTGCTAAGCGATTGCAGTTTAACTTGGATATGGAACCCGTGGAAGGCATTGAGCCCATGAAGAATTTACCTAAGCTAATATTGCCTTTGTTTTGGGTGGAGGAGGGAGTGCATCTCAACAAGACCTACACCAATTTGGTCAAGTACACTCTGTTTCTGTGAGTTTTAGTCTCTAAATTACCTTTACAATGTTATTTAAATAACTTTATTTTCAGTGGCCTCAAAATCAACTCTGTCCTGCGCTGGTCCTTAATCACTTTCTCTCTGGTTGGCCTGATGTTCTCTGCCTATCTTTTCTATCACAAATCTGATAGCTTAGACATCACCAATATGCTGAAAGAGAACAACAAGGTGGACGATGTGGCCAGCACTAAGGAGACCCTGCCACCGGCTAACCCAAAGCATCCGCCTAACAATCTGCAACCACTTCAAGGTGCCAATACACTAATTCCCGGCACCAAACCCCATCACTAATCTCAAAATGGAGCATCGTGAGCGATACTAACAACGGAGCTCCAGCGATCTCTTCACCCATAGTCGTAGTCCAATGCACCTGTGTAGTCCAACATGAGCTAATAAATTGAGACAGTTAAAGGCACATTCGTGTGGGAAACAGGTCGGTGGCCAATCGAGTGATCGCTAATCGATGATCGTTGATCGCAGACGACAAGATCTGTGCGCTCTACTGACACCAATCAGCGGCGATCAGTGAAATCGTTTCGCAGCGAAAAACGCAAGATAGCTGGTATCGAAGTTCGAGACAAATTGTTTTTTAACAATGGTTGCAATATTTGCAAACCGAAAACAATTGCCGAGACAGGCGGCAAAAATAAACAGGAAAACTTGCAAGGGGCTTCGATTTGTAAGGCGTTGATAAATGATTTGTAAACAGAAAGCTTCATTTGCTGTTTTAAATCATTTTTAACGAAGATGCATTGTAAGTACTTGTTTTGTTACAAGGCTTACAAACTCTTCTGGGGACCTAATTAACAAAAATGTAAAACTTCTTGCATATTTCTATTTGGTTTCATGTCTGCTTTTTCAGTTTTAATCCTTCTTTAACTTAATTTATATAACCTATTTCATTTCTACAAACTTAACACCATTTAAATCTAGAACTACGTAGTTCCACATCTCAACGGCATTCGGGGATCTCCAACCAATCGATCTTCTAAGATAGTAGTGTCCTTGGGCAGTTCAACGAACTCCAACAGATCCGCCAATTGCCCGCAATTAAGTTCTGCTTCCTCCACAAAGAAATCTTCATCCAGGTCCTTTATATATATCTCCCTCCCCTTGTCATGTGATATTTCCAAGTAGTTGAGATCTTTTAATTGAGGCAACATGTCCATATGGTCCGATGTTAAGTTATCATAAGTAAAACTCAATCTTTCCAATCCCCTGGCTGAGGAAATCTTAGGCAAATCCAAGAGATTCTCAATGCCCGTCAAATCCAGGTCAACTAATTTACTGGCCTTGGACAGAAAGTCAAGTCGGGACAGATTGGTATTGGCCAGATAGAGTTGCTCTAGATCCTCAGGCTGGGATATTTTCAACTCATTCAGACTTAGATTATCCTCCAGTTGGACACCAAGAACTCGGCCATCCAACTTGACTGTTTCCAAGCCGCAGTTGGTAGCCTGCAGCTCATCGATTTTGGCTGTTAGATGCAAACTTCTTAACTGAGGATTGAAGGATAGTGTTAGAAGTTCTACTTCTGAAAATATATTCGAAGGAATCCGCTCAAGTTGATTATTTCTGGCTGAGAATTCTGACAAATGTTTTCGCTGATCTCTGAATAGCTCGGCAGCCAATTCCCTCAGCTGATTGCTGTTCAGATTTATGGATTTTAGAGATCTTAATTGTGAAAAGGTATTTTGGGAAATTTGCATTAGCTGATTGTTGGATAAGTTGATTTTGAGAAGCTTCTTTAGAGGCAGGAATATTGTGGTGGACAGATCCTCCAACTGATTGTCAGACAAGTTGAGCTCCTCCAACTCTGTGGCCAGTTTAAAGGTGTTTCTATCCAAAATTTTAAGGTTATTGCCTCCCAGATTGAGTCTTTTTCAAGTTCTTGCCACCATCAAAGCATTCTTTTTCAATACTTTGAAGCTGACACTCTAAGACATCGAACTCCACAAGTTGAGGAAGGTTTACAAAGATGTTTCTGGGCAGATTGGCCAAGCTGGAACTGTGGAGTATGAGAGATTCGTAGCCCTTCAAATTCTTAGTCACTTCTGCTGACAAGAAGGCCACCTCCGAAATATTAGGGTAATCCAAGTTCGTGCAAGTATTTTCCCGGCAATCCAAAGTTTTAACTGTAACTTCCTCTAGTTTTTGTGACTCACAGACCACCCGACTGATCAGTGCGATCAAAATATAGTTAAGATAGTTTAGCATCAGCATCTTGGCTAAAATGGACTGAGCTTATAACTGGCTTGGAGGGGCATTTTAATACAAAACCAGAACACAACCTTCAAAAGCAACCCTACACGAGTCGAACAGGTCTTCATTAAGTGTTTGTTTGTTTTCTTTGCATTTAATTATTTCTTCTTTTTTTTTATTATTTGAAACTCTCCCCGTTCGATTTTGGGCTAATAAAATTTTATGATTCCTCTCAATGAATATTGGCAGTGTGGCTTTATTTCTACGCTCTGTTTTCAGACATTTGGCATAATGCCCGAGTGATAAGCACGTTCTCTCGTTTTGCCACTTCAGAACGACTCTCAGAGCGAGTCGCCCCACGTTATATAGTTTATAGTTTATGGCACCAGTTGTGTCAGCTGATATGGAACTGTTTGTTGTGGACGGTGTACTATACATCCATTCCAAAAGTATGCCAAGTCAGGCTACGTTGGGTCTGGCCCGTGTTTGATAAACATTAGATTGTCATCTGTTAGACAGGCGAAGGTCTCTGGAGTCTAGATGGTGTTACTGATTATAGTTTGGCTTACAGAAATGGTAAACTTTAGGTACCCTTAGGTACAAGATAGAGATACAATCATTAAAGTAAACATTTTACAAGTGCATCGTTGAATCAGAATGAATCATCTTGAACTATCTCAAGACGTAATCTATATTTCATTTACCTACTAACTTTATCATGAAAGTTTATAATGTATTAGACTGCATTTGCTATATAATTAACTTATAAATCAGATCATAAAATCTGATTACGTATGATCTGTCAACGTTTAGCGATTGCAAACTTGTTTTTCAGCTTGGATAGCAAATACAGACATCTCTCACTCTATATATATTCTTAATCGTGAATATTATTATTCTACAATATTTTATAACGTTTCCGCCTTAACAAAAAAAAAAGAGATGTTCAGAAGCGCTTGGCAATAAACTGGCCTGTTTTAATGGCAATTAGCTCATTTTGCACTTATATCACTCAACCCATTACCGATGTCGTCATCAGTGCATCGAAATAGGTAAAACAACCTTTGAATATCTTAAACATTTAGCGTCCGAATGACCAATAAACCTAATGAAATAAATCAAGTGCCATAAACCCGAAGGCGCCATATAAAATCACCCACAATAGAGGCACAATTTTGTGACCGATTGCCCGCTATATGTTCATTTATACTATATACTATATACACCTACGTGTATATCGCATTTGTTTACCATGCTAAACTATTGGGGGAAATTTGATTTGAATAAAGTACAGACAGAGACACGGCGGGGACAAAGTCTGCTGGGCGGCACAAGAAACACTCTTCTTTTTCTCGAGCGCCTTGTATGCAAAGTAATTGCGGCAAATTGAATTCCACAAAGGGGCACAGACGGGACAGAATTTATCGCTAAACGAAGTCATGCCGTTTCAATTGAGCCACACAACAACAGCAACAGCAGCAAGACAATATCTTGTATCAAATAATTTAAAAACCATTGGCTTATAATTAGCCCAATGCAGTCATTGCAGTCAAATCAATTGTGATATATGCTTAAAGTGGAAAAGTTTACCTTTTGATATTCAAATTGTTTGCCCAAGAAGCCTCAGAAAGCCAAGGAAAATCCCATCAAAAACAATTTCTTGAAATTTCAACAAGCAAATAAATTTGTTTGCATTCAAATTAATAAAGCTTTGCTTGTCTTTGCGGTCGTCATAATCTTTTTGTTTTCACTCGCAAAGCTGTAAATAACAAATTGAGCAACCGAAAGCAGGTTGAACGTGTTCTCGGCTCGTTCGTTAATATATTGGTTAGGAATTTTATATATTTTTCCACTGACATGTCAGCAATTTGTATTCCCTGGCCAGGCGAAAGTTCTAGGTTAATATTGTTTACGATTTTTTAAGAGTATAAAGAAATCCAAAAGGTTCCTAAACATTCCTCTGCCAAAAATAACATACGAAAAAGTTGGTACTTTAACAGGAAATACTACAGCCCCTTATCAAGCCGAAACCTAAATGCCCTCCACAAAAGCAAAAAATCATTTCGTTTGATAAATATTGAGTCATTCGGTTAGCAATGAGCACAACAAAAATATATAGCGCTAGGAAATACAAAAGACTTTAACGACCAACGAAATGTGTAATAAAAAAAGTATTTTTAAAAACATTTCCACGCGCCCTGCTTTTCATTTAATTAGATGAGAAAAGCCAATGAGCCACCCATGGAAATACTCTTACATAAAGGGGTATATTAATGGCTAAGACCCTCAAGTGTCTGGCCTTTTGTCCATTATCAGCAGCCAAGAGATTTCCACCTTTTGTTCAGCAAATCGCCAAGTAAACACTTCATGATAACAGAACAGCGTACCGAACTGGCTGAAATTGTTCAGCAGATATGGTACAATGTTTTGTTCGAATTTAGTGGCTCTCACTTGGCAGAGGGCAGATCACTGAATGGAGCCACTAGAGCGGGAACTTAAAAATAATGAATAATAAATGGGCAACCACAAACATGTGTCAAAATTATAATGACAGGCGAAATAAATCAGATTTTTCATCTTCCGAATAAGGTACGGGATATTATGAAAACCTTGAATAGATTTGTATTAAATAAATTAGCTAGTCAGCAAATAAGAACAACAAAGAGGGGTGATTAAACACAGCAAGTAGAACTATTGAAAAGATTTCAAAAGGCTGATTAGAGTTATGAATCAGACTATTTTCTTGGACTTTGGCAAAAATTACAAATCATAAGCAGTTTCCCTTTTTAACAAAATTCCATACAAAGTCTATATATTAATTTCCTTAAATATGAATTGTATTTAAACTATTAGTTCAATATTAATAAGATATATTCGTTGGAATATCAAAGCTATATCACTTTGACCTAAACTTTCGAAACGAACTGTACAGGCTATATGTAAACTATTATTTTTTCAAAATCAAAGCACCATGAATAGAATGAAAATTATATAGATGTGATGATCATTATTTGAGCATTATGGGAGAGGCTTATCTGGCGAGGCGTTTGACGGTCATCGTTGGGAATCAGTATCAGGTCGAACGTGAATCGTGGAGCACGCCAAATGTACGTCCGGAATTGTTTGCTATTTTACTGGATCTGTACGCTGATCTCGTTGGCGGCCGCCGACGTCACCGTCCCCGAGGATGAGGATAATCCGGCCAGAATCTTGCTGGTGTCTAGTCTAGAGGGTCATTGCCAAACAGAGGGCCAGGTTACCACCTGTAGAGGTTTCAATTTCGAAGATGAGGAAGAGAGGGCAACGTTTGATTTGCCAACAGAGGTGAGGATTAGAGAGGATGGTACCACCTATGAAGTTGGCAATGAAGATCCCTCAAGAACACTGATCTTTGAGAATTGTACCTTCACAAACTTTCCCCTGAGACTTTTCTACACCCTGGAGGTGACTGAGTTGGATATGCGAGGCTGTGGCATTCGATTCATTTACTGGGAGAACTTCTCCATTGGCGCTGACAAGTTGGTAATCCTTCTGCTAACGGATAATAAAATTCAGATGTTGCCATCGAAAACCTTCAGGGGAGCCGGAAACTTGGAGTTCCTCTTCCTCAATCGCAACAAACTAAACAAACTCCAGGCGGGTGCTTTTGACAACCTAAACAAGTTGCAGTATCTGGATCTAACAGAGAATCTCTTGGAGGATCTACCAATGAATATATTCTCGGAACTGAAAAGCCTGATGCACGTGGGATTGGCTGATAACCAATTGACCATTATTGAGAGTGATTTGTTTGCCCAAAACCCGGGACTTCTATCAGTCAATATGCAGAGCAACCGAATTCGGGAGGTGGGGGAGTACGCCTTTCGATCCCAGGGGCGTGACCATCAGATGCAATACGTAGATCTATCGCATAACCCGAAGCTGACTGTGCTGCTGCTGAATATTAATGCCACCAATCTGACCGTTCGCAACTGCTCACTGGACCGTGTCAATTTGTACGGCTCGGTGACGAATGTCGATCTGAGTAATAATCGCGTGCGGGAGCTGTACTTTCCCGCCTCGGAGGCCCTTGAGCATTTGGTGCTGCGCAACAACTCGCTGGTTCAGTTGGCATCTTTGAGTCGGGTTCCCAGGCTGCGACACCTGGATGTGGCCGATAATCCGCAACTTGGCCAATTACCCAAAGGTTGGCAAACGCCTCATCTCGAAATGTTGGTTTTACGAAACACTGGGCAAGTGGAACTCCCACTGGAGGCTTTGCAGGGAATGCCAAATCTACAGAAGCTGGATATTTCCGGCAATAATCTCACGGAAATCGATCCCTCCTCTTTCGCAACGCTCTCGCAGTTGACTCACTTCTATATCCATGGCAATAACTGGAACTGTTTTAGTCTGACAACCATAATGGATGTACTCATCCGTGCCAATGGCATTACCTACACCATAGACGACTACAATCCAAATTTTCCGGGTGAATATTTCCATGGTATAGCCTGTATGTATCGCTTGTCTGAAAAGGAGCCACTGGACTCAAGTGGCTCCTCGGAAATCTCAGCGAGTGTGGAGTCCACGCCAAAGCTAGGTTCTGCTAATTCTGATCCCAGTGAAGTGGAAAAACTGCGTCAGGAACTCAAGGCGGTGGTGCAGCATTTCGAGGCCAAGTTTGATTTCATATTTGGTCAACTGTCTCAGCTGAATGAGCAAATGCAGGCCTTTGAAGTACTTAACAAAACTGTTTGGAGTCAGGTCACCCTTTCGATCTAAGGCATTTATTATTTTGTTTGATAAAAAGCTGTGTAAATTATAGTCCTTTTGATGTTATCAATAAATGTTTTTATCTATAAATTTAAATATTTTTAACTGAAAGTAAAAGTATTGTCATTGACTTATTATCTTTCTCTGAAATAAACTTTAATTATGTTAATAAAAAAATAACTTTAAAGGCTTTGTCTGTCTTTGCAATACACTTTCTGATTCGGGTTCTTTTAGTTTCTTGAAAGTGATTACTTTACTATTACCTAAAAAATATCACATTTTTATTAAAATAGCTAATTTATTTTTGAATTATTTCATTCTGTCTTTGATAATTGGGCTTCTTCTTACTTCTTGTTAGTTGTTCAGCTCTTTCCAATAATCGATAACATTCCTATCCCTATCCCCCAACCTATCCTTTGCAAAATCGAAATACTTAGAAACGATTATTATTTTTTCCCGTTTCCCAAATCCCCAACGTTTTCCCATCCCCAACCCCCAAAAACCAATGCAATTTGCAACATGAGCACATCTGGTAAATATTTTTCTGACGCTGTGTCGCAAACCTAGAATAATATTTAAACAATAATATTGATTTTTGAGCGAAGCAAAGCCAGGGCTTTGTGTTTTCTTGCTGAAAGATATTGAAAGAGGTTCGTTCAACTCGGAAAAGCAAACAAATAAGAATTCCGACAGAAAATAAGACTGAGGGCCCACCCAAAAAAAAAGGAACTTGCGTAATTGGTAAAAACCCTTGAAGGGCCGGAAAGTCAATAAACAAACAAAAATTATTAAACTCGATCGCATATCTTACAAATTCAGCAATTAATTGCTACTCTGCTCAGCTGATTCCAGCAGTTTTAATTATTTATGCTTTATTCCCCCGATTCGTTAGATCAAAATTAATGGGTAACTAATTGCTAAGATAAACAAACAGTTTCGGTTTCGGTTTCAATGCAGCCACTTGGCAAGGAAGCGAAACAATCCGAATCCCAAATCCAATCCCACGAAACACGATGATCACTGGTCGAACTGCTGATCCATAGTATCGTGTGCATGTGATTAGGAATAAATACACACAGATATTCCCGTTTGTACACGAATATCGAATAAAGTTTTGTGTATATTGGCAGTGCAATATTTTTTTTAACGGTAATTGGCACACAACTCGTGCCGATCCAGCAACTGTAAATGCGAACATTCAATATTACCATATAGATACGAGTATAGTACGGCTAGGCTATCTGGGCTTGTTTCTAGTAGCTATATCCGCAGATCAAAGTTCGAAACATGCCACGATTGCCTGCTTCAGTGGCGATCTCTTCAAATTTTTGGGAATTCTATTGAAGTGTGTCTGTCTAATTATCAATGCCAAAAGATAACGAAAATTTGACAATTAGTATTGTTTAATTTGAGGGGTTTTTCAGATTCATACTGGACTGAGGTTACGTATATTTCTTATCTATAGGTTTTTAATAAATTTTAACATATGTAACATAACCGTTTAAAAATTGCAAGCCAACAAATTTTTGGAGTAAAAAATAAAAATGAAAAGAAGCCTTAAAATCATTTTTTGTTTGCAACTCTTTTAGTATTGTCGTTGAAAATATAAACCAATAAATCTGTCTATTTAAAGAATCCTGTTCTTGAATAATATTTCCCAAGTTATTACTTGTTTTATGTAGATAAGAGCCTAATATTTCTTTTCAAAGACATCATTTTAAAAGTTAGGGGAAAATTCATTGGTATCTTGACTCGTAAATCAAAAATAAGATGTCCAAAATATCTAAAAATCAAAAAACAAGAATGTCCCCACTTCGGGTATTTTCCCAAAACGGGGGAATTTCCCACCCACTCAACTTAGTCACTGATGCAAAAAAGAAGAAGAACCACGAATGGTGGAAAAATCAAATGTCACGCGCTCATATCAACACAAAAGAAAAATTAAGGCACAGAAATAAATCATTGACAAATATAGAATAGAAATTGGCACCCACCTTTTTGTGTTTATTAATCAATAAAAATTGGTTGTGTTGTTAAAACGATTGCAGAATCGCAATTTTTGGATTTCTGGTTAAGAATTTTATTTAACACGCTCACGAACACAGAGACACATATATGTATGTATGTACATTCACATTCACATCCACATTCATATCCACATTCACGTTCACATGAACGGGTAAAAAACAAAACTTTTGTAAACAATTTCGCGATTAGGCATTTAGCTGCGCTACAAAATTTTTGTAAATAAGAAGAAACGTAACGAATTAGCTGGTTGTGCCGCCATATTATATATAGGTATGTATATATTTTTAGAGATTAGAGCAAAATTATAATAACTTTTTTCGCTGGATGTCCAAACACTTTCGAGGTGTTGACTTTTCAGATTAGATTATTTCACTCATTTCACTCGGCTAATTATCAGCCATTTTGTTCAACACCAAATAAATCACAAAAACGAACAGCAGCAACAAAAACCAAATCGATGTTAATAAAATAAAAGAATGCGAGCAATAAAAAAAAGAAAAATTATTCAGGCGCGCGCTTCCACTTTGGACTCGACTTTCCAATTGGAACACGCACAAACGCTGATCAGACAATGGAAGGGGAATAGAAGCGATTGAAGAGGAAGAAGAGAGCAGGATGTTCGTCACTCTCTCAATAATTTGATCATTTTTTGTTATTAAGAATCTATTCAATTATTACAAGAAAAACAACAAAAAACGTTGAAGAAAAAACAAACAACAAATCGGGGCAAATAAAAGTATTTGTCCGTGGAAAATTTTCAAACGTTTTTGTTGCTCTTTCCAGCAGGCGACGCCATGTGTTTGTTTGTGTGCGTAACAGCTGATCGCCGATTATTGATTTTTTATATGTACATCCATGAGAAGCAAAAGTGATTAGGTTTTCTTGTTTTCTGAAACAAGGAAGTTTCGCAAATCATTTGCGCACTCAAAAGAACAAAGATCGATTGTTTTATCGTGCGATTATTGTTTCTGTTGTTGCTGCAATTTCTGCAATCCATTCGCGCACAATTAAATGCTGTCTACGCAGCTTATCACAGAATAACATTGTTGTCGAGCTTTCACTTGTTCGATGTTTTATGCCGATTCTATTACTGGTATTTTATATAATATTTATTACCAATAAGTTTTTATTTTTAACGTTTTATTTAAACCATTTTTTCACTGCACTAAGTTTTACGGCGGGCTAACAGTTTTTCCCCAACCTGGTCGTAATCCGCTGCGTTTTCACCAAAGTTCTCAACCAAACAGTGTGACCGTTCCGATAACGATACAAAATATCAACCAGTCTAGGCATGAATATTACCAACTCATAGCAAAATACCTTTATGTTATCATTATGCACATTTTTTTAAATTTATTATTTATTAATATTAAATGATTCATATTTTAGTTATTTATTATTCTATAATAAATTTCATAATTGTTTGAAAGCTTAATCATCATTAAAAAAACCGATGTTTAGCCTTTGCAATGGCTTACAATTTATTATTTGTAAAAGTATATACGATTATAGAAAAACTCAGTAGAAACAAGTTCCAACTGCTTATCTTATTACCAATATTTCGGCTAAAAAAATATTTCCAAGTTCCAATAGTTAAGAAAGTGGATCTTTATATTGTCGAATTGGAATTAAAATAACCTCATCTAAAAAATTGATTTAGTGTTTTTCAGTTTAGTTTTAGATTTTTTCTCATTTTGGTATTTTAACAGATTTAAAAATTCAAAATTCATAAAAATTCCAACGAAAAAAATTAAAACATTGATTTAATTTAAAACATTTTTTAAAATTAATTAAAATCAATAAATTATCTGAACGAACACGAAGTCTCTTAATGCGAAATGTTAAAAACTGTTGTTGAGTTACTTAAATTCGACTGCTATATTTAAAAAAACAGTCATGATATAGCTGCGGCCACACTGAGTTCGATGGCGCTGCCAGATAAAGGTGACCTTTTGCAATCAAGTAGCTTTTGTCAAGCACCACCGATGTTTGGCGCCAAAACTTTTTCTTTTAAATGGGAAAAATTCACAATTCTGAATAAAGCAATTAAGTGACCTCAAAAAATGTCTTCTATAAACAATAACATAAATATAAAGAGAAAAAGAGAGAATCGATCTTTCTTAAAATAAATTCAGTACTCTACAGCTTAACTTCTAGGTATTTCATAACATTATATTAAAAGACAAAATCAAGCAAATCTCTATTTGCAATATTTCTATTTCCATCATATTGCTAGAAGTAGAATTTATGCCTCATAAATAATATGCCTTGGCATGGCGTTCACACTTTTAGGTCCCAACCAAACTCTTTTGTAACTTCAGCTAAGTTAAGAAAATCGATAAAAATGGCGCATTGCATTGAGGCCACCCTAGGAGCACACAATGACGCCACCAGAAACAGCAAAGTAGACGAAATCGGAGTCACTGAATATTCCACCACCCACAAACTTCAGTTTGATTTACTGGATTCCCAAAATTATTCAAGGCTAAGCTATTTAAAATTTAAGTTTGCCTACGTTATTTTTATGATTTTTATTAACAGATATTTAAGCTTAGCTGTGGTATTCAGCTAATTTGATTTATTATTGTTTAAATATAAACTTATATTTCTTGGACACTCACCTGTTCAATGTCGAAATCCCATTCAGGCGATGGAGAACGCGCAGTTCGGTTGCCTGGCGGTGGAGTTCCTAGTGCGGGGGAACCAGCTTGAGGCTCTTCTGGAATCACGGCGAATCGACCCCGCTGGAGGATTGGCGAAATGGCGCCATAATTGGCTGCAATGGTGAAAGAACAGGTCGCTTATTAGCAGCAAGGAACTTTAAATCGAGGTACAGAACAAATGATACCCAGTACTAGAATCTTAAACCATGGTACTTAAATCGTTAGGCATTTCTTACAATTAATATAACATAAATATATCTTTCCTAACCCCTAGCCAAAGAATTAGGCTATAAATTAAATCTAAAAATATTGTGGTTCTATTACGCCCCAATAATAGTATATTAAAAGGAATGCTTATAATTTGGGCAAACTTACACGTGGGCATGAGACGGAAGCGGCCAAGCGTCGTTTCTGGCGGACCCTGTGGCGTGGAGGAGGTGACACGGAAGCGGCCACGGCGAGCAGCGGCTACATCTTCGTAATTGCCACCCCCTGCCGCTCCGCCAGCACTGCTTTGCATCCTGTGGCTGATGCTTGTTCGTCTGCTTCACCAAAAACTGCAATGGAGTGAGAGAAGACGGTGCTAGTCAAAATCAATACAGAATACTCTGGGATGAATTCATAGTGATATCAGAAAAATACAGTTTTTTATATTTTACAAATTTTTTAAAATATTAGAAAAAATTGAGCCGGCTTGCTGAAAGACATATATGTAGCATACTTATAAGGAGTTATACATTGCATTTTTTCTTTCTTATGAAATTTGAAAATAATTAGTTATATTGAGCACCTAAGAGATTTATATAAGAACCTACATAGCTAACGTAGATTAATCTGCGACAACTCAGCGGTTTTAATCACTCTATTTAGTAAGATTACTTCTCCGCCATTTTGTTCCTATTGAGAAAAAATATTTATTGTTAATAAGAAGGTTATAGTCTTTTCTCCCACTGTGCAATGGTCAGAGTCAGTCGAAGAAATTGCTTTACGGGCTCAATGCACGCGAGTTTATTTTAGCTTCCTTGGCGCCTCTAAGCAGACTACATATTATACGGCTACTTTGTATATTCTGTATTCTCTTCTTTCCTCTCTCTCTCTCTCTCTTTCTCTCCGTGGATTCATAATTGAAAATCTCGAAAAGTGCACAAACGAATTCTTTAAAAGTGTGCCATCCGAGTCATTCAACTGCAGGAATATATATATATATCTATACTT